GAAAAAAAAAAAAAAAAAAAAAAAAGTTTCCAAATAACAAAATGTGATGAACACGTTTGTTGCAGATGCCATCCCTTCAACGAAGGCCATGCTCTTGCAAATATGTGTTGCAACGAAGGCCATGCCGTGGTATGTTTCTCTTCCAACGCTATCGGAGTACATGGTTGAAAATGGATGGACAAAGTGTTTCTCGAGAATAAATGACATAGGCTGGCTTGCTTACCTCGTTTATTTAATTGTTTACCTTGTAATTGTGGAGTTTGGAATTTACTGGATGCATAGAGAGTTGCATGACATAAAGCCTCTCTACAAGTATCTTCATGCAACACATCACATCTACAACAAGGAAAATACACTTTCTCCATTTGCTGGTAAGTTCTAATTCCTAATCAAGACGGTTTCCTTGAATTGATGCTATGTCAAATTGAACATCTTCAAATTTGTAGTTGTATGTATGCCTTCCTTGATTGATGGGTTAAGTGGCTTCATCTTTCTTTCTATACAATTCTCATAAGTTGTAGGATAATGTGTTACAGCTTAATGATTAACACCACTACGTTGTGTGCAAGAATTGCATGACAAGTCTGTTTAGATCTGTTTATTTTGACCTGAAGAATTCTGAAGTATGGATGAAACGAAAAGACAGGAAATCATGTATGTTCCAGAAACATGCTGTAATCCAAAGAAGAGACTTAAATCAAAATTTACCATTATTAAGCAAATTTAAACTATAACTTCGCACCTGTGTTCCTGTAAACGTGAGAATGTAGTCTTCTGTTACACAACATTCATCATGTACCCAAGAGATTATGTACACAGTTGTTTGCCTCAGATACAGATTAAAAGTAAGACAACTCCTAATTCCTTTGGGCCCACCCTATACAAATGGGTCATACTGTACGTGTCAACTCAACTCAACTTTGTAGATTCCTACATGAATGGAGATCTTTTTCCCATGCTGAAATATGAAGCAAATTAGATTTTTTTAGGAGCCTAGTGGGCATCTCTATCCATTTCCACTAGGTTTTGTGATGGGTGCCTGCTGGGTTCAAAGAATCAAAGGAACTTTTGATTTTTTTACCCTTGTGATTTATAGCTAATACTTCTTTGGCTAAATCCACCATGCTTGCCCCACATCCCTAACTTAAAATCAACTATCGAACCTACTACTGCCTGAAGCTGAAATTATATGCTAAGCTACTTCATCCAACTATTTCTGTCGGTTATTTGGGTAAATTCTCATATTGCAATCAAACAGTAGAAAAGTGCAAGCAAGAATAAAGATATTCAACATGCACCATAGATTTCTGGGTGTTGAAGCTACTGATACATTGAATTGTCTCGAGAGTCGGGAGTGAGGCTGAACAATTAAGACAGATATGGGGATGTGTGAATGGGTCTCCTTGCACGCCTTAATGTTCATTTGTTCTTTTCTTTTTGGGTCTAGGTATTTGATGGAAATCATGTATGTTCCAAATTCATCAATATGCATGTGCCTTCAGGACAAATGCTTTATCTGGCACTTTATAAAGTATTTCTGTTTGTTTGTATTTGTGGGATTCAACTATTCTGCACCACACGTGAGATTATCCTATACAGAAATGTCCTCATTTACCCTAATTCCTAATGTTTTATGTGGCATCTCATCCCCAACCCCTTTTTCGGTGGGGGAAACGGCGTTATTGAAAGATGGGATCCGTGGCTTCAAGTATTGCGGGAAACATGATGCAATTATTTCCTCCGTTTCATACTACTTTCATTCTCCTAGTGTCCTTACAGTTCCGACATTCTACTGTTGACATTGTATTTGTGATTCAATAGACAAACGATATGGTGTTTGTCTTTCAGGTCTGGCATTCCACCCGCTGGATGGGATTCTGCAGGCTTTACCACATGTAGTTGCTCTTTTCCTGGTGCCAATGCATTTCACGACTCATATAGTCCTATTATTCCTGGAGGGCATATGGACGGCAAACATTCACGACTGCATACATGGTAAATTATGGCCTGTAATGGGTGCTGGCTACCACACCATTCATCACACTACTTATCGCCATAATTATGGCCATTACACGATATGGATGGACTGGATGTTTGGGACTCTTCGTGATCCTACAGATGATGAGCCCAAGAAGATGTGAACTTCGTCCCTTGATTTGGGCCGATTGATCTACAGTGTACAAGTTTATATTGATTAGCTGGGTACTTCAATTTGGTTTCTTTTGATGTGTCTTGCATGTCAGTTGTGTTGGTTGGCCTATTTTTTTGATGTATCTAGGCCTAATTGACGATATTCGCTACCCCAACTATGGGCGTGGCAATGAACACAGGCTGTGCCATTGAGTCGTATATTTACTGTGTTTCATTGCATGTGTGGAAATTGATTGCTTTTAGTGACATAAGTTTTGTGATTCGTATGCATAATTTGAGGCCAAGGAGGTAGGTTCAAGAGTTTGTTCTTTCAAAACCATGTCGAGCCTGATGAGGTTTTGACATTAAAATAGGAAAGGGTATAATGGCAAAGGAAAATAACTATTGAACAGTTTTACTGTTTCTGAATAAAAGACATGACTTTGGTCTTGGAATGTAATCTATATGGTGGTGTTAAGATTTCCGGGTCGGGTAGATGAAAATGCTATCATCATTAATTTGTTACCTAAAACACTCCATAGATTGTTGTATAACTGTCTCAACCCTCACTGCAATTTTGGAAAATTTGAGGGTTAAATTAAAATTTTAATATTTTTAACATTGTTCGAAAACATTAACTATTGAAATATTGTTTGAAACTTGCCCCAACATAAAAGTTTGTGAAAAATTTGGGGGTAGGTTTTAATTTTCCGAAAAAAAAGTGAGATTTTTTCATAAATTAAAGAATTAGGCTTAAACCTCAATCTTAACTCAAATTAAGATTGTTGTGATAAGTACTAATCATTATTATTTGGTCCCTTTCATCTCCTCCCCTGTTTTGCATTTGTTACTTGATATAAACTGAAATTGGGACTTAAAAATTTGAAACCTTAACTTTGAAATTGGTTGTAGAATTGTTGAAGTGGTAGATATTCTTGTAACATTTCACTTTAGTTATTCTTCATTTTTCATTGATAGAGTAGATTTCAACTTTGCGTATGTTACTGCTTTCTTTCAGTCTTACTACCTGGTTGAGAGGTTTGTATCACCTTGTGATGGAAGCATTACAAATTAAGATCTGAACAAATTGATAGTTTAGTTGTGGGAGAATGCTCATAATGCAAATATATACTATATGAAACACTTGTTTTTTTTTTTTTTTTTAATTTTGTAATAGTTAAATAATAAATAATAAAGTACTGAGTTTATGTCAAACTGAATAAACTAGTTCTGTAATCAGCCTTGGATAAATTGTTTCAAAGAAAATCAAGATTGGAATATAAAGCAGTCAAACCATTTTTTCTATTTTTGCAGGTTGAATCTATGAACTATAAATCACTGAGATAGGCTATCAATTACATAGAGAAAATGCAGAGAAAAATGCTGACGAATGGGGTCATTCATACTCTTGTCCAGCTGAATGAAGATCTTTATTTTCATCCCAAGTTGATGATAACGTGGTTGAAAAGTTTACCGGTTGCCTTGCCGGAGAAAATAGGATAGGCTTAGGAGGAATTTGTAACGATTGAAGGCTTCCTTCCAACATTTCTACCACATTACTCATGGATGGTCTGTCTGCTGGATTAGTCTGAATGCACCACAAACTCACTAAAACCATTTTCCTTGATGTTACTTCTTCCTCTTCAGTAGTCACTCCTTCAATTCCTAGATCCTCACCACGTTCGAGATGCTCGTAAATCCAGTCCGTAAAATGAGATTCACTCTTATTGACCCTTCCAACTTCATGGTTCTTGCTTGCTCCAGCCATTTCAAGCACCATCATTCCATAGCTATACACATCAGATTTATGAGAAACCCCTCCATAATTTCTACAAAACACTTCCGGAGCAATATATCCAGGAGTGCCTCTAGCACCCAACATCGATACAATACTCTTTTTCGTTTTGCATAATTTTGCGAGGCCGAAATCTGAGATTTTCGGGCAGAAGTCTTCATCCAGTAGAATGTTGTGAGGTTTTATGTCAAAATGAACAATCCTTGCATTGCAACCTCGATGCAGATACTCTAAACCTCTAGCAATGCCAACTGCAATTTGGAACAATGTTTTCCACTCNAATGGTAGATATTCTTGTAACATTTCACTTTAGTTATTCTTCATTTTTCATTGATAGAGTAGATTTCAACTTTGCGTATGTTGCTGTTTTCTTTCAGTCTTACTACCTGGTTGAGAGGTTTGTATCACCTTGTGATGGAAGCANACTACATTGACATGGGAAGTCTTGCTAATGCTGACTTCGTTAATGAACTCCTCCACATTGTCATTGGTCTCACTCAAGATTTTCACTGCAACTAGCTGACCATCAGATAGCTTTCCCTTATATACAGTACCAAACCCTCCTTGCCCAATTTTATCCCTCAATGAGTTGGTCATTTTCCTGATATCTGAATAGCTATACCGTTTTGGAGCAAGAGACCCGTACTTTTCCATAAATGCATCTATATTTTGGTCGTTCATTCTTTCATTCTTCCAGAAGAAAATTGACATAACTGATAAGCTTTGTCGTTTACAGAAGAAGAGTGTAACAACTACGAGTATTATCATCCCAGCAGCACCGACTAAGAAGCCTGCATATAAAGGTTGGAGGGGTTCATGTGATTCAGAAACTGTAAACCATAACCTCGAAGAACAATCAAAAAGCTTATGCCCCATTCAGAGATTTCTTCCAACTAAGTATAGAGGCAGAAACAATTAGAATTGACTGTACCTATGAGAATTATCATCTTAGTACTTAACCGTGTCTTGGTTGGTCTTGTCGCAATCGGTCCCATCGCGGTTGGTCCTATCACGATTGATCCCCTTGTGGTTGGTGCCGTCGCGATTGGTCCCATCACGATTGGTCCCCTTGCGGTTGGTGCCGTCGTGATTGGTCCCATCACGGTTGGTGCCGTCGCGATTGGTCCCATCCCGGTTGGTGCCGTCGCGATTGATCCTGCGTTAGAAACATAAGAAACATAAAATTTGTGAAACTTGATGAGCAAGAGATACTATTGCCGAATACTTATGGAAGTCATTGTAATCGTTCAGTAAGAGTACTATGATACTCCAATATCATATAATTAGAATAAAATTAAAGTTGCGACTCTATCCTACTTTTTGCAGGTAATATTCCATTTAAAAATGAAATTGAAGCAAAAAACCACGTACTCTCTCTCTCTCTCTCTCTCAAGTACAAGAGGGTTTTCTTCCAAATTATTATAGGGGCANTGGAAGTCATTGTAATCGTTCAGTAAGAGTACTATGATACTCCAATATCATATAATTAGAATAAAATTGAAGTTGCGACTCTATCCTACTTTTTGCAGGTAATATTCCATTTAAAAATGAAATTGAACAGGATCAGGCAAAAAACCACGTACTCTCTCTCTCTCTCTCTCTCAAGTACAAGAGGGTTTTCTTCCAAATTATTATAGGGGCAGAAATAATAAGAATTGACTGTACCTAGGAGAGTTATCCTCATAGTATTTAACTGCCGCGTTTTGGTCACAGTTGGTCCCGTCGCGATTGGTCTTGCCACGTTTGGTCTTGTCGCGATTGGTCTTGCCACGTTTGGTCTTGTCGCGATTGGTCCCATTGTGGTTGGTTTCGTCGTGTTTGATCTCGTCACGGTTGGTCCTGCTTTAGAAACATAAGAAACATAAAANACTGGTCTTGCCACGTTTGGTCTTGTCGCGATTGGTCCCATTGTGGTTGGTTTGGTCGTGTTTGATCTCGTCACGGTTGGTCCTGCTTTAGAAACATAAGAAACATAAAATTTGTGAAACTTGATGAGTAAGAGATGTTGTTACCGAATACTTATAGAAGTCATCATAATGGTTCAGGAGGAGTACAACGATACTACAATATCATATAATTAGAATGAAATTGAAGTTGCGTCTCCATCCTACTTTTTACTGGTAATAATCTATTCAAAAATGCAATTGAACAAGATCAGATAACAAACCATGTACTCTTCTTCTGGTACAGGAGGGTTTTGTTACAAGTTACAACTGATGTCAGATTCGAGGAAATCCAAAAACAGAACAACACAGCAAACGACCCAATGAAATTCAATCAGACAGTATTATGTCCATAGTTAATATCAAGTTATCTTAACCTAGCCGATAGGTCTCCATTCCTTGACTTGACCTGCATGTCATATTGGATTTGATCTCATACTCGACGTGGTGATTAATTTTGACACTAATTATTATGAATTCATGGATAAAACTTAGACAGTCTCAAATAAAAGGTGCCTAAAAATTTATATACTCGTATCTAATAGGGTCAACTCTATTTTAAGGTTATTAAAGTCTGGGCTTTAGGCCCAATTTTTTTTTTTTTTATTTAAGTCCTATTTTTTGTAATTATAACCACTAGCTTAAATAAAAAATTTAGGAAAATTTGAAGGCCGGTTCTCCTATGTAGACTTAAGCCCGCCAAAAAAACTTATTTCTATGAAATCTATTTTTTGTTAATTTTACCAGACTATCAATTCCATTTAGAAGTGAAGTAAAACTAAAAACTAAAAACTAAAAACTAAAAATTTCTTAATTTTATGAGTTTGATTAACATTAAATTTTTTTTCCTCTCATATCTGTCTACATACATATATATGTTAGGACTATATCTCTTGTGTGCATGTGTGTGTGTATATATATATATATATTTATATATGGTAACATTAAAAATAAAAAATAGCAACATTCAAATACAAAAAAAAAAATATATCATTTAAATACAAAAAATAATACCATTTGAACATAAAAATTAGTATCATTCAAAAATAAAAAGTAGTTATATTATATATTAATATTTGAAAAAATAACAGTAGTAACATTGAATATTAATATTTCAGAAAAATAGTAATATTTAATATTAACATTAAAAACAAAAAATAGTAACATTCAAATATAAAAAATAGTATAATTTAAACAAAAAAATAGTACCATTTAAACACAAAAATATAATAACATTCAAAAATAAAAAATAGTAACATCGTAAATTAAAATTTGAAAAAAAAACAATAGTAACATATTCAACAAAAAATAGTAACATTAAATATTAATATTTTCGAAAAAATAGTAACATTCAATATTAACAGGGACATACTTATCAAAAAAATAATAACATGTTCAATAAAAAATAGTAACATGAAAAAAGATAGTAAAATGCACAAGCATAACAAAACAGAAATAGTAACATGGAAAAGAAATTGTACTAATACAACGTCGTCTTCTTCACAAAAATACACAGCCAATTAAATCGAGACTAAACAAATAGCACAATAGCAGTAGCCTTAACAAACAACAACAATAACAGGACAACGTGCGACGATCCACATGTACGAATGTAAATAGATCTACCGGCCTTGGTTGAATCCGAGTTAGTGTACAATTCTACTTGGAATTTCGACAAAATCTGAGGGCAATTTGTGTGGAATCAAAGCTCTGCTCATGGTGGGTGCATATTAATGGAATCAAGAGCTTTTGTGGTCGTGAGCTTCGGCAGCAACATCTTCGTTCATGGTGGGGAAGAAAAAAAATTCAGAATTGTCGGAGAACAACCAAAATAATGTATTTCATAAATTTGAATTTTAAATTTTAAGGTCAAATCTTATGAGCATGAATTAAGGGATAAAAAATCTGAGTGTTTCCTAATTAGGAAACCGAACGAAGGTTTGATACTATTGAAACATTATAAGAAGGACATTTTGAAGTATTAAAAAAATAGTAGACTTAACTATTTATTATTAAGATAAAAAATGAACTTATCATCAAATAAATTTTCTTAATGGACTCAAATCATTATAAGTCCCTTGGTCTCAATTTTCACAAAAATTATTTAATTTTATAATAAATAATCTACTTTGTTTTTGACGTTCTGTTTTTTTTCGTTTATTTGTTATTTTTATACACCATAGAATGCACAAAGTCTACAATTCTCTATTAGTGTTATCATTATAAGCTGGTGCAGTGAGCATCTCGAAAAACGAAAAAATAAATTTTAAACAAATATTACTTTTAAAAATAAAATGCCCCATTTTTAGTTGCAGCGTTTGGTCCCGGCCAGTACTCTCGCATCTAATCTCAATATTTAACTGACTTGGAACCGTGACAAATTTGAACTAAATAAGGATAAGAAGATGAAGGGCACATNTTTAAGCTGGTGCAGTGAGCATCTCGAAAAACGAAAAAATAAATTTTAAACAAATATTACTTTTAAAAATAAAATGCCCCTTTTTGAGTTGCAGCGTTTGGTCCCGGTCAGTACTCTCGCATCTAATCTCAATATTTAACTGACTTGGAACCGTGACAAATTTGAACTAAATAAGGATAAGAAGATGAAGGGCACATACCGTTACCGGTGCCGGTTTGAGTTTTGTTACAGGTAAGTTCATAAGGTCGATCTGCGCAATAGCAAGCGAAGGATGTGGAACGCGAATTGACTGACCCGCATCGCCCACCCGATTGGATGCATTGCTCACAAGACAAATCTTTTGCTGACCACTCCAACTGAAAACCACCCCTAATTGCTGCTCTTAGATCATTCACTGAAGCCTTTGGACTCTCTAAAACCTGAGCCGAGGTTTGACTAATAGGAACAAAGACGCTGTCATCGCATGTCCCCACGCTCAAGTATGTATCTGCTATGCTGAAATAGTTGACAGTGGTGGTACCGTCGTTTCCAGTGCAATCAAACTGGTGTTCAGCCTGAGTTCCGGTGCAGCTATAGTTAAGGGTCAAGTTCTGTAGATTGGAAGCATAGCTGAAAAGGTCGAAATCGATGGTGGTGTTATAGGGATTGGTGGGACAGAGATTGTTCAACAAAACCTCTTTAGCAACTTTGAGAGTTTGTGTCCCGTTATCGATTTCAAGGACTCGGTATTCTCCCGACAGGATTGTGATCAGAGGGGCGTCACCGGAGCAATTGAGCTGGAAACCTGGATGGCCGCAGTACGCCGGCCGGTTCTGTCCGGAGAAAGGATAACCAATGCTCGAAATGTTTGCGCACTGAAACAAGTTACCACAAGCTGCATATTGCTCATTATCTTGACATAGAAACATGGGAACGTGGCTTAAGATGGAGATTATGAACATGTTCAAGAAGACACAAGAGGGTCTGAAGAGATTGGGATCCATTTTCTTCTTAAGTTTTGAGAGAGAGAGAGAGAGAGAGAGAGGAGTTTAGATATCTACCATTGGTGCAATCCAACTTAATTTTGGGTTGGATTTATAAAATTTAACCACCGCAATCAGCTGGTGAGGGGTTATTCTAGTCTAACCAAAGTCTTTAGTTTGAGATTTTGAAATGCAGCTTGTTTGGTAGGGAGAGTTTACTGCCCTTGTGGTCTTACCCGACTCAAATCCAGATTAGTCAGAGACTGTTGTGACTTCCGAATATCGGATGATCTGACCAAAAAAAAGATATATAAAATTTAAGGGTTTATTTTATTTTTGGCTAAGGTGTCATCTCTAAACTGTTGAGACCAATTTGACATAAATTCAACGGGATATTATTATAAAATTAACACGATTATTAAATACATATAATAAATGGTTTAAACTAATATTTTACACTCAGAACACACGAAATATATATTTTTTATTAGTGAGTCTTGACATGAATAAGACACGACATATAAGTCACACGAATTAACCCCCCTAATTTCTGATCCATGAAATAATATTTATTTTGTCAGTTTAATTTTCAATATATTAACATTGTTAATTTAATCACTAAAGAATTTAATTTGTGTTTAAATAGTTTATGCACAAATTACCACGTGTTATTATTTCAATCGATATATGAAAATTAAATGGATCATTTGTATAGGAATAATTTAAACACGAACTACATATTTTAAAAATTAAATTAATAAAATTGATATAACGAAGTTTACGCCGTCAAAAACAAACATAATTGAAAGGCAAAAATTACTTGTAACCCAAAATTCAAAGTAAGCATTAAATGTCGTCAATTGATCCTATATTTCCAAAGTAAGCATTACATGTCGTGAAATTTTGATCCTATATTTCCAACTTTGTCAAGTCAATGCAAACTTCGAAAATTTCCTAAGGAGGTCTTCCTCAATCTTCGGGCGGTGTATTATTGTTGACTAGAGGTGAAAAATACTTGGATTACTTTAAGTGTCAGTCATATTTCGGCCACGTCACCAGGAAAATTAAGAAAAATATTAGTATATGTGATCCTGTTTATTATTGGATTGTTTTTTTTTGATGTTACAGTTGATTTTTAAGTCTCTTTGATGCTACTGTTTATGGCCATTGTGTTAGTGAATAAAGAGGCCTTGTAGGCCCAACTATGTAAATCCAAACCTTCTCATTCTTCTTTGGATTTTTGGGAACAAGGTATATGTTTTATAATTTATTAGGCTTTAAGTACAAACTCAAAATTTTTTTGGCAAAAAACACACGCCGGAGCATAAGGACCGAAATACTCTTAACATCATCACAGTTACTATTGAAAAAATCAAATAAAAAATTCGATTACTTTGAAAACTAAAATTCTTAAATTTTATAATTTTTTTATATTAGAACTCTCTCTCTCTCTCTCTCTCTNAATTAAAAAAAAAAATATTCAATAGCAACGAACTCATGTTTGAAGGCACTGTATAACAAAAAAAAAATTATATATTAGTAAAAATATGGCTCAAACCAATTACTAAACTCACCACATAACACACAATATAAATCTCAATTAAGACAACAATAAAATCATAAATATGGGCTACCATATTAAAAAGGGAAAATAATTATGGAAACCAACATAATGGAAAATCAACTCAATCGCCATCTACCATATTATAGTTCTGGAAAATTAAAAGCTCTAAACAAACACTTTTCAAAACAAAATATATACTTCCTGAAAAATTCAACCCGAAAACTAAAATGGAACACTATAACACATAACGGAAATTCAATCTCAAAGCTGAAATTTTTTTTCCAGATTATTTACAAATTAAGTCTAGAATGAAAAAAAAAAGGTCACACTTGCCCCTATAGGCATCGTAACACAAAAATAAAAAACCAACAATTGATGCATTAAGGAAAAAAATTAAATTGAAGATAAAAAATGTTTCAAGGCCTCTCATTCAAAATGTCCAATTACTTGAGTTAATAATTGAAGTTTGTAACTAAAAGTGAACATCAATACTTTGACCATCAAATCCAAAATCATACAGTATAACATTCAAATATTTTACCTTAATAGCATTTCAATGATAACATCAAGATTTTGCCTTAATAGTATTTCGATGTCATGGAAAACCCAAGTTTGAACATCCAACTATTACAAAACAAAACAACACTGGTACAGTGTTTACAAACTCCAAATTAAAATCCATACAGATCAAACTTTTCACCGAACTCACAATTATATAACAGTGTTGCCTTAATATAACTGTTTACCCAATCATTTACCAGCTTCATAATTATAATAGTCATAAACATTTTTATAAACATAAAATCATAGATCGTCATCCATTTGTCAAACAAATTTTGGCATTTAAGCATAATTTTAGTTATTTTCAATAGCATTCAATATCATATTTTCAGCATTTGCACAATAATATTATTGCAGTCAAATCATAAACAGTCTACTTAAAAAGACCAAAAACAACTAAGTAAGTCACATGAGTAGTTTAAATGCAACAAAGTCATTCAAAATTTAAAAGTAGAATGAGTACTTTAAATGCATAAGCCATTGAATATCAACTACAGTACTCCATTTTATTCCATTTTATTCCTAAATTGATCCCTTGATAGCTCCTTGATGAAGATCCAAGTAAACAAAGAAAGCTGTCCAAAGATCACAAAAGAAAGGAACCAAGTACTTCAAGAGATAATTTAACATACCACATAAAACTTGTCTATTCAACACATCTTGATTGCAACACATGGCAACACAGACCCACAAAAGTATTGGAAATTTGAACTACTTCTACAATCACCTTTCATGCTTTGTTTTTTTTTTTTTTTTTCATCAGTTAAACAACTTTAAATGTACAAGAAAGTAGAACCGATTTAATAGCGGCATGTCTGATTCAAATTCAGAGACTTCATGAAATTCTTTTAATTTCTTGAGAGCAAAAAATATGTAGAATAAATGCTTAAGAGTGTAATAAGTTAGCAAAAGACATAAACATGGAGAATATTCTTATTTTCTCCAACCTCCTCACTTTTTACCCACTTAAATTCAAACTTTTCAGTCTCCTTTAGTACCCATAAATCAGAGATGCCGCTACCCGACCCCATAAGCAATTAGTAAGCATCAAATTATAATATGTAAAAACAAACGAAAGAGTTGAAAGTAAATTAAAAAGCCCAAAATCCAAATAGTTAGCATACAAAATCGCTTGAGTGAAGATCAAAAAAAAAAAATCACTTGAGTGAAGCATTTTAACAAATAGTTAGCATACAACATTCAATTTGTCACAAACCTTATTTCATTAAAAACACCAAATTCGTAAATGTCACAAACCTTATTGAATGGAAAACCCCAATTTGAAAAACTTAACATTCAATATTACAAAACTTAGCACCTAATTAGAAAACCTAACACAGAATGTGTCTGCTATGTTTTGTGTGTCTCTGCATGCTACTGTGTGTGTAATGTGTGTGTGTGTGTGCGCCTCAACCTTGGGTGTGTGGGTGAGCGAGGGTGATTTGTAGCGTGTTATGTGTGCGTGGGTTGTTGTGTTTGTGTGTATGTGTATGGTGTGTGTGCGTGAGGTGAAGGAAGAGAGGTATGACAAAGAGAGAGAGAGAGATACCTGGGTTGTGTCGTCAGTGGGTTGAGCCATGGTAGAGAAGAGCAAAAGGTGAGAGGTAGAAGAGAGTTGTAGGGTAGAAAGAGAGAGAGAGAGATGGTGGTAGCAAATGTGTTACCGTTTGAGTTGAGATCTTCTGTGAGAGAAAGAGAGAGAGGTAGAGAGACAGTCTGATTGGGATTGGGTGGCGTGTAGGAGTTGGGTAACGTGTAAGTGGGTTTAATTTTTGGGCGGGATTTGGCATTTGTATAAGATGTATTTTTAGCCTTTAGATTATGTTGAAAAAATTGAGATGAACTTTGGACCTTTGAATTAAAAGTGGATTTAATCTGAGCCGTTCTTGTGCTTTTCAAAATAAATTAAAATTGAATTAAATTTTAAAATAGAAAAAGATTCAAATTGNACCTTAATAGCATTTCAATGATAACATCAAGATTTTGCCTTAATAACATTTTGATGTCATGGAAAACCCAAGTTTGAACATCCAACTATTACAAAACAAAACAACACTGGTACAGTGTTTACAAACTCCAAATTAAAATCCATACAGATCAAACTTTTCATCGAACTCACAATTATATAACAGTGTTGCCTTAATAGAACTGTTTACCCAATCATTTACCAGCTTCATAATTATAATAGTCATAAACATTTTTATAAACATAAAATCATAGATCGTCATCCATTTGTCAAACAAATTTTGGCATTTAAGCATAATTTTAGTTATTTTCAATAGCATTCAATATCATATTTTCAGCATTTGCACAATAATATTATTGCAGTCAAATCATAAACAGTCTACTTAAAAAGACCAAAAACAACTAAGTAAGTCACATGAGTAGTTTAAATGCAACAAAGTCATTCAAAATTTAAAAGTAGAATGAGTACTTTAAATGCATAAGCCATTGAATATCAACTACAGTACTCCATTTTATTCCATTTTATTCCTAAATTGATCCCTTGATAGCTCCTTGATGAAGATCCAAGTAAACAAAGAAAGCTGTCCAAAGATCACAAAAGAAAGGAACCAAGTACTTCAAGAGATAATTTAACATACCACATAAAACTTGTCTATTCAACACATCTTGATTGCAACACATGGCAACACAGACCCACAAAAGTATTGGAAATTTGAACTACTTCTACAATCACCTTTCATGCTTTGTTTTTTTTTTTTTTTTTTCCATCAGTTAAACAACTTTAAATGTACAAGAAAGTAGAACCGATTTAATAGCGGCATGTCTGATTCAAATTCAGAGACTTCATGAAATTCTTTTAATTTCTTGAGAGCAAAAAATATGTAGAATAAATGCTTAAGAGTGTAATAAGTTAGCAAAAGACATAAACATGGAGAATATTCTTATTTTCTCCAACCTCCTCACTTTTTACCCACTTAAAT